ATTACGTTTTCAGTTCACTAACGTTGGGGAAAACGATCCAAACCATACAAGTAGCCCACCAATTTAAAGCCTACACCCTGCTCTTTCCAACAATATAAGTGTCACAGCTCTACGTGAAAAATTCACGGAACAAGCAGCCACGTAATAGTGAAAAAGGGTAAATTCTGGAACCATAAACACAAACGTTTTTATGGCTTTAATCAACTTTGGAGTGATTTTTTTCCACTTGGCTGGACCTTTATGTCTCTTGTGTTTGTGTTGGTACATGTAATATGCTAATTCTGTACTGTGGAGATCATTAAGAGTGAAAAAATCTTTTGCTAACACTGTGTTGACCGTGAACCGGAAGTGTTGGGAGTGGCATCAAGTGCTGGACCGGATGTCCGTGGCATTTAGGCAACTGGTAACAAGAACAGCGAAAGCAAGGAGACAATTTGCATGCATGCATCCATTTTTGTCCTGAAGGACACAAACACATGCACACATCCTAAATCGCACAGCCACATGAACAACGTTCAGCCTTATTAAGCTCCTCCTTCCATGTGCAAGGAGGAAAAAAAAAACCTCTTTGGCTGCTGCTCTCTAAAAATACAGTCTGAGTCTTAACTTGGATCCCACAATACTTTGAGAGTTGCCTCTTTAAGCTGCTTTGCAGTGAAATGACTTCCACATCACCAATGGAACAATAAWTGATGTGACAACAGATTTATATGAGCTTTTGCCCAGCCTCTGATGTCACTTTGTTGAATGAGGAGCAAAACTGATAGCCGCAGACACTTTGGGCTCATATATGCCACCGACTTCCAGCGTGTTTGTGGAGGACAAAGGTAGCTTGTAACGTTTGACAAATTCCAATGATAGCAAACAGTGTAGTCTAATCATGCAGAACACACTATCGCCCCAGCACGCAGCGCTATCTCTCAGCCCACCCAAAGCTGCTTCCTGGGAGTCGCTCTCAGCTCGACACATGGGCTCTTAAACTCACTCGGAGCTCCTCTTCCTCTTTTCAACCTCCTTCGATCCAAATCTTAAAGCTCGGCGAGCCACTGCAGGCTGAGAGGATTTCATGTCCCCATTCGCAGGAAGTAATCATGCAATTAATGACAAAAAGCATGTGGGCATATTAGATAGAGGCCGAGGGGAAGCGGGGAGGAGGAGGAAGGGGAGGGAGAGAAATGGGGTCTAGGAGAACGGATGGATGGGGAGGACGGGGAGGAGGAGCAAGTGGATTAAGGGAGAGGCAGATGACAGACGAGAAAGTCTGGTGATAGAAAACGAAAGAGTGAGAGAAAAGCAAWACATAAGCTCTTCTCTCTGAGATAAAGCTTGGAAAAAAAATGGGTGGGGAAGAAGGAAAGCTGAAGAGGGGGCTGCCGTGGTAGCAAATAAAAACAAACAGTCAATATCGATGTTTAAAAAAAACAAAAAGAGATCTCTGCCTGTTGACACCTGTCTGTAGCCTAATAAACAGAGATAAACCTGTATGTGTTGATCATCTTCTGCTCTGTAAAATAAATAAATAAATAAGGAGAAAAGATGAAAAAAAAAAAGGTTTTGCTTGAATCACAGGTGATATCAAATCAGGGGCAGTTCTAGGGGTGGGGCCACAGGGGCATTGGCCCCATGAAGTGCCCCCTCTCTCCTGCTACTCATCTGTCCTTTGCTCCAAGAGCATGGTGGGTGCAGTTCCATGTACGAACACTAGTGGCCCTAATGAGTCAAACAGGTAAGTCCAGCATGAATCTAATTTACAGAAATCTACTTCTTTTCTTAAGAAGATTTGAACAATCCTGTAGAAAAAATCTTTCAACTGACAAATGATCGCTGGATTTTCTGACATGCTGTTAGTCTGAGAGGATTTTACGTATGTATGTATAGTAAAAATGTATGGAAAATTGGTAAAGAGAATTTACTGTGCAAGCTTTTTTGAAAATTGCAGTACATTTCACGTTTTAAAGGGATCCATGATTAGTTGTTACATTAGACTTTATTTAATAAACATGTATTTTAACTGTAAAATAAAGACTGTAAAAATACTGTAGGCTGTTTAGTTTTTATCATTTTTAAACTAAAAGTTTAAAAATATATTACACGGATGGGGCCGTTTTATTTACACGCAAAGCATTCTGGGTAAATGATGACGTGGATAGGTCCTCGGTGCAATGCTGTTAGCGAGCTATATCCACCCTGAAGTTAATCTTGGACAATATCTGATGATCGACTCTTTTAAATGAAACCAGAGAGCGTTGACAGAGAGGAGAAGGTAGAAATGACTCAGCCTGTATCTGAAAATATGGATGGAGGACAACAGAGCTGCTTCATGGAAGAAGAACCTCAGCTTAGCCTGTTAGCTTTAGCGTTAACTCCGACGCTATCACCATACATATGTATTAACTCAGCGCTACACATTCTCCTCTCATCACTGAGGTCCTCCATCTACATGACAGAGAGGGGAACGCAAAATTGATTCAGCTGCAACTGAAAATATGAATGGAGGACCTCAGTTTAGCTTGTTTTTCGTGCTAGCGCTGAGCTAATACATATAAGGCAATATAACATCAGCGCTAAAGCTAACAGGCTAAGCTGAGGTTCTTCTTCCATGAAGCAGCTCTGTTGTCCTCCATCTATATTTTCAGTTACAGGCTGAGTCATTTCTACCTTCTCCTCTCTGTCAACGCTCTCTGGTTTCATTTAAAAGAGTCGATCATCAGATATTGTCCAAGATTAACCTTCAGGGTGGATACAGCTCACTCACACCGAGGACCTATCCACGTCATCATTTACCCAGAATGCTTTGCATGTAAATAAAATGGCTCCGTCCGTGTTAAAATATATTTTAAAACTATACAAAACTAAACAGCCTACAGTATTTTTACAGTCTTTATTTTACAGTTAAAATATACTGTATGTTTATCAAATAAAGTCTAATGTTACAACTAATCAGGGATCCCTTTAACATGTGTGACTGGTTAAATGTGTACTCCTTACTAAAAACAGGGATTTGTGTGCAAGGATGTTGAACAAATTCTTGGCCTTTCTATGAATATTGTGGCTCCTTGATGACCACTTATTCCTAGAAAAAAAAAAAAAAACTCCTAAAATCCTAGATCCACCAATGCGCCAACCCATGCCTAAATCTGATTGGCTCACAGTTTGAGTCTTCTCCAAAAAAGCTGCACCAAGTTCATTTAGTCGTGTTCAGAATCCTTAAGCTGTTCATTAAGCTGCAGAATAAAGAGTGGTCATGTGACTCTTGCCTTTAATAGGCTGAAAGTCCTTTTGTCCATTACTCTGGTCTGGCAATAACTAAGCCACACACAGAACGACAGCTTCCCCCTCCTTCCAATTACAGCCTTATAGAAAGGTAAAATAACTCAGTCTTATTGGAGTTTCCCTTACACACATTACAAGTCCCAGAGGGCCATTTACTAACTGAATAAGATCATTTTCTTTCTTTTTTTAGACCAAAGAGCTTATGTCATGTTTGATGATGTAATGGTGCTTAGGTGTGTGTATATGGTGCAAAAAGTACACTCTGTTCAAAATAAGTACAATATTTTTCAAATAATTTGTCAATGTTGTAACCTCTGTATACTCTCATCGAAATCAATCACACAATAAAAACTTCTTCCCTTTGCCTTTTCTTTCTTTTTCTGTCTAGTCATCCATCACAGCAAAATCAAAAGCAAGCACAATGTTTATTGTAACCCTACGGATGGATTCTATTCAATGAATATAAACATTTGGAGATCCAAGTGGCGAATCCAACCAAAAACAACATTTCTGCCTTTATCTGAATGTCAAGGTGATGATTTGAGTTACCTTACATGCTACACCAAAAGTCATAAAAATGCATCACGAAGGAATCATAAAACCAAAAGAATGGCCATATAATTTCTGAGTTCTGTTCTTTGCAAATGCCAAACCACATCTGAGACTTATTAATTATGGAAAAGGAGGCTCTGTTGAAGAGCAAAGGTAGCAATCCAGAAGAGATAAAAAGGAGAGCAGAAATCACATGTAGTGATGTAGTTAGAGCTGCACCTCAGGATGAACTAACTGCACAGCAAAACAAAAATCATCTTCAGAAGTGATTTAATCTGGCCTTGATACTTGAAGCCTTTTACTGAAGCTCAGTTAAAAGCAAAACTAAATCATGCTCCTTTTTTGTTTATATCTGCAACATGACATGCAGACACCTCACCTGCAGTGGACAGAGATGGGTCCATCCTGTCCAAATTGCTCCTTGGTTTTATGGACCTGGCCGATAAAATCGATGAAACCCTCCCCGGATTTGGGCACACCTTGCTCTGGCCAATCAGTAAACTGGAACTGCCTTACTGTCCTGGACTGGCCATCCTGTAAAAAGAGGGGAAAAAAGACGAGGTGAAGATTACAGAAAATGTGCAGGAATTAAAAGAAGACATATCATGCTTGAAAGTCCTTCTTTTTCACATTGAAATCATTCAGTTGGGGTCTATGTTAAGTGGAACTGCAACRCTTTGGTCTGAATTCCTCCTTATTGTAACTTCRCAAGCCCCTCTTTACCCTTTTCTGAGGTGTGTCTCAGATCAACTCATTTTGATGCTGTCTCTTAAAATCCAAAGAGGTACTTCACACCCTGCCCCCACCCTCCAACTTCCAGACTGATCCATTCTAGTTTGAAAGAGGGGTTTACCACTATACAGTATAGCAGCGCAGAAACTTTTTATTTAGAAATTATTTACAAGATGTCAACAAGGGAAGACTTGTCCATCCAGCCTCACATGTTGCAGCCAGAGTCTGACCCAGAGCCAGAGGAAAATGAAGACTGTAGTTGATAAATCCTTATCTGGCAGATCCATCATAAATACTGTGACGTAATAGCTCCGAAAACATTGTAGAGAATAGAGAAAACTGAACGGGCTGAAAAATATGATCCAAACAAAATATAAAGATATCAAAGCAGAGAGACTAAATTAAACTTTTCTGCACTCCTAGAGACTCCAAATACACAACAAAATGTATTTAATGGCTAAAATTTTTGATTTTGCATGAAATGTCCCTTTAAAGGTGTGTGTAAAGCCAAACCAACTCGCAAACTACACATATAAAAATATAGAAGGTAACCTTATAGAAATTTTATAAAAATAATGTCTCTTGTGCCACATGGGAGGCACAGAGTGTCCTTTAACCTCTGACCAGATTGTTTCTATTTTCTTCCCTCCTGTGTTAGTTTACGTGTGTGTTTGTGTGTGTGTGTGTGTGTGTGTGTGTGTGTGTGTGTGTGTGCGTGTGCGTGTGTGTGTGTCAAAATGGTTCTGGTAAACTAATCAATAGTGTATCTGCCGCGACAAGTGGCTTCTCCGAGATGCCCATGTTGAATAGGATAATCCGGCGTTGCGATCAATAAAGCAGCTTTATAGACGAGCAGAGCGAAGCAAGAAAAGCAAGAGCAAAGAACAGCACAGGAGAAAAGACCGGAACGATAAAAACTAAGMAACGAAACTTAAAATCTTAACAACATATTCTTAAACTAAATCCTACGATGTAGTTTTTAAAGGCCAGGCGGCAGAAACAGCTACCCATGCCATCAAGATTTTCTTAAAGAAATGCTCACGCTGAAGCAGGGTGGCACGGAGGACAAGGGGAGAGAGCTGCTTTGTTTTCAGAGAGCTTATTATACAGTCTGCGAGTGCACAGTCGATACTTGTGTCCTTGTAACGAAAGTTCTTTTCAAGTTGTCACAGGGAGAACAAATTAGCCAAGAAAGTCAGCCGAGACAAGCAGTTTTGCGCAAACAGACTCTCTGCTTGATGCCACCAGTAATTAAGACAACCAGGTGTTCGTTTCTCACCTCTCCACACACCAGACTTCACTTCAGGTTTTAGACGCCATTTTCACTCATCCCCCTTTTCCATTTTAATCACACTGGAACTGCACAGTTGGGTAAATAGTCAGCTGGAAACTGTGCCGTGTTTTATTTTACCTTTTTAGAGATGCCTGCTTTTTGGTGGTAAAATAAAAATCACAGATTCTACGTCTAGGTTTGAGAGCTGGTCACACGTAGTTTTTGCAAAACAGTTTTTATTTTTCCTGTTTGCACCTCTCTTTACAGGTAAATCAGACCTTTGTTGAGAAACAGTGAGATTTTTACAAGCTCTTCTCCCTATTGGAGATCTTTTAAAAACAGTTTGTGGCATTTTAGCGTACACTTGACAAATGAAGATTGTGCGAAAACAAGCAGCTTATTTGTACATGCACACATTTTATTTGTGTGCTAGAAGCTAATAAAAACAGTTTTTTTCTAACACTCAGCTGGCTTTTTTATGACTCTGTCACCGTTAAATTTTGATCATTTGTTGCAAAAGGTAGTCACTGAAATTAAACAATTAATGGTGTCAGGTCTCGTAACCTCTATAGCAGAGGTTCTCAAACTGGAGTCCCAGGAACCCCAGGGGTTCCTGAGAGATATCTTGGGGGTTCTCAAAAAATTCACTAAATTGTTAATATGGTTTTTATTTTTAAAAAAATGCACGAACAACAATGAACTAATAAAATAAACATAATAAACTAAATAAAAATATACATTCCCATGGCATTTAGGGGTTGAAATGACAAAAAATTATCTTTTAAAACAGCATGAAGTTTATGAGGGGGTCCCTGGAATTATTTTTGCTGATGTAAGGGGTCCCCAAGCCCAAAAAGGTTTGAGAACCCCTGCTCTATAGCATGAGAACAGGCATGTACCTCTTTGATTTTCCAACACTTTTTTCAGTTGGCAACACCTCAGGACACCCGCACGGCACCGTGAGGAACCTTGGGTTCGCCGTGAGCTGTTTTTTTTTTTATTACGCTACATAAATTTTGTAAACTTCTTAAGCAGCATAAACACATAAAGTACAAATTGTGCTGGCTAGGATAGTGATGTATAGCGATGTAACAGCTTCAGTAGCTGCTGTTGTGTATCGTTCCCACCAACTCCTCTTTCGGTCCGTCCGTAAATTTACGTAAATTTCCTAAACTTCCGTAAATTTTGTAAGCGATGTGAGGGTGACCACAGTTATTTTATGAAGCCAGAGGAAGACACATACGGAATAACACCGGCTTGAATAGAAGTAGGAAGCGATGTTAAAACTGTTCAGGTCAATTTTTTTTCGTACATAGTTTGGGTTAGATTTCAAAAATTTCCGTAAGCTTCTTAAGAGGAGGTGGGGTTATCATTCCATTGAAAAAATGTTATTGTGTCAGACTAAGAAAAAAACAAGTTTAAATTTTTATTAGTGAATTTTACACTTGCACTTTTGTTTGTATTTTGAAATCTTTAATTCTTATTGTATTGCTAGTTACCTAAATATATAAATTAAAAACATCCAGAGCAGCTTAGTTGTGAATCTGACTGAACTGCATAGTAGAATTGTAAGATATTTATAACTACAGCAAGAAAAACTTTATTTTAAAGACGTTATGCACAGAGTCATTTAGTTGGCAAATAGAAAAAAAAAAGTACATAACTTTTATAACCACCAGTCGCCATATAAGTGGCTCCACATCCTGACTTGTTTCAGTTATTTTTTCTTTAAGAACACAGAAAACCACTTTGACACCGACGAAAACAAGCCGAATAATGTCAAATGTGTTCAGGAAGACAAGTACTTGCCCTAGATTCTTGTTTTAGTCTTCTGGATTTTTGCCATACGATAACAAATTCTCTCTACTGCCAGCAGGGAAAAAAAATGCAAATGGCAACCGTACGGTGGCTTTACAGTATGTAGCTGCTGTAGCGCAGAGAATATACCCATCTGTCCAATAAATGTACCTGTACCTGATACAAACACGTTTCTGCACCGCTGCTACCAAGATGCACTCTTTTCCATTATTGCTCTTGACAAATACAGTGATTCTAATAAGTTAAGCTCCATGTACTGACTCTCTTTGTTTATCATCTCATGTTCCTTTTGCTGTTCCAAGACACATTGCGCGTTCTCTTTCTTTTGGTGTCTTTGTTGTTCCACTCAAAAACATTTAGCCTCAGTGGGGGGATTAAAAATGAAAGAGAGGGGCAAAGACAACAACACAATAAACCAAGCGTGCCAAAGAAAATGTGAAAGGAAAAAGAAAAGGGAAAATAAAAGGAGAAAATTTAACACACAACCTGGGGGCCCACACGGCGTGTCAAATTGTGTGATTAAATACGTGACTGGCTCTGTAGATGTGAGTGTTGAGGCRTGGAGTCTATGCCATTACTGCATGAAGTCTGTGCTATTACTGTGCAGGCGCATGTGACGACACACCGACACATTTTTGTGCAAAAACACAAACATACATCTGATTGACGGTACCTGCTGTTAAAGCCAACTTTACAAACACTTTTTACTTGCGCACACAGTCAGTAAAAGGGAGCTGGGGCTTGTAAAACGTACACCAACACAAACACAACCATATGCTGCACTATCATCCTACCATCTCTCCGCTTTCTTTCTATAAACGTGATAAGATTAGACTTTTTTATTGGTGCTGTTGAGCACTTTGATGGCTCAGCCTGCTTTAATGCTGTAAAATGAAAACACCTGATCAGTCCTTAAGACAATACGGTATGTTGGGGGCATGAAAACATTTTAATGGACAGTCTCTGTTTGGCATAGTTTGTTGTTAGGTCAGCATTCAGACTGCCCTGCAGCAGACAGTGAACAGGATGTGCACATTTGTGTGTGTGTGTGACCGTTCAGAGGCATTTTGCACACTGCATTAATGTATTTAGGAGAATAGGAAAGAGTGCCTGTGCACATGAATGTTGCTGAGTACTCTGCTTCTGCCGAGTCTAGGCTTTAGGTTCTGATTTATTTAAGTTTTGATAGTATCCTGTTTGTGTAAGCAAGAAGATGTATTAGTCTTTTTCCAGTACCAACAAAAATATTGATACTGCAGCTACCTGCCATATCGACTGGGAAATCTTTAAACAAGTCGGCCAGTTTTTGCAGGGGAAAAGAAAAAGTATTTGAACTGCTACATTTCTGTTGTTTCAAGCTGTCAGATCTAATTGGAACAGAGAGAGAGAGAGAAAAAAGATCCTGAGATAAAGAGATAATTTAGGTGGTGCGAAACAGGTTTCACACTTGTCACTTCATAAAAAGTCACTCTGGTCATGAACTCTCATTATTAAAGCCACTGTAAAATCTTGCTTCATGTAGGAGTTATCTTATATATAGAAGAAATTATAACTTTAAAGACATTTTAGAAAGTTTGGAGGAAGAAATTTATTAAGTATATTTTGTACACTAGTCCTCACAGAGGTTCATTTTGGTCTTTTGAAGATGCGGTACTTTTTCTACATAAATACATAATAGGGGCAAAAAAAGGGTAAACTATTCTGATTACAAGAAGAAACTGATAGCAACGTAATATCTACTGAACTGGTGATAATTGTATACAAACTCATTTTAAGCCATGTAACGC